AAACATTTGATTGAATAAACACTTCGGGAAAAAAAGTCCTGAAAATAAAAAAAAATGAAATTTTCGATCAGACCTCAAAAAAATTCAATCATGTGATCGAATTTTTGGGTTGTTTGCTCCTGAAGACTCTGGCTTGTTTATATATGACGTCTCTCTGATCATATTGGAGGTTGGACGATTCTTGAAGCTCCAGACGATTCCAGACGAGATAAATACCTTTCTGAAGACGATTTCTAATACCTTTCAGAGATTCTGAAGATCTGAAGGTTGCAAATCATCTCATACATTTAGTTTATCAAGATTTATCAGTAAATATTTTTTTTACTAGTTTAGTTTCGTTTTTATCCATCTCTGGATAAAACCTTAGTTTTCAGTTCTACATAAACTAGTGCTTTTCATGTGATTAGTTTTCAGATCTGGTTTTAATTTTTGTGCTTCTATCTAGATTTTTTAGTTTTGAGTTTAATTAATATTTGATTTTTAATTCTTGTTAGTTTGATCACCTAGCTAGGGTTTTTATCATTCCAGTTAATCAGTTAATAGAATCCATAATTGTTCTTGTCAACTAGTAATAAGTAACAAGTATCATATTGGTTCCGTGTTGGGATTTAACTATGGTAAAAACTGTAAAAATAATATCTTTACGCTTCTGAGCTTATAAGAAGTATTGGGTATTGATGGGAATTTTATAAAGATCATAAAGCTACTTTTCTGATTTAATTAAGAATTTGTTTAATTGAACAGTAAAAAGTTAGGGTTAATTCAAAGAGCTTGTTTTGGTTAACTAATTTAGGTAAAAGAGATTATAATAGAGTTTGTTAGTTTTTCTCAGTACCATCTTAGATAGAACGCATTCTGAACAACCAGATCTGAACTGATTGTATGATTAGGAAAGTCGCAGCAGAATTGAAATCGTTTTTATTATTGATTTTCGTTTAGTTTATTTTCACTGCAATTTAATTTTTAGTTTAATTCAAAAATCCCCATTTTTCATATTTTATGTTTAAATGACTAGTATGCGTCTGATGCAAAAATGCATTGATCGTTAGGCTATGTCCCTGAGGATTCGATCCTGCTTCCCAGTGGTATATTATTAGTGCAACCAGCACTGACATTTTATTTGCTTAATACATTCGCGACAGCATGTTAACAGGTGTACTATCTACACGGATCACAAGAGTTTGAGATACCTCATGGATCAGACGAATCTAAATATGAGACGGCGTAGGTGGCTTGACGTGATTAAGGATTATGGCTGCGAAATTCTGTATCACCCCGGGAAGATGAATGTGGTCGCTGATGCTTTCAGCCGCAAGACGGTTAGTTCTGCTTCTGAGAGTCTGTGTATGAGGATTTCGATTGATTCGTCATTGTTGGATTTGATCAGGGAGGCTCAGGCCGAGGTAGTCAATGAGGAAAAATTGGAAACAGGAGAGACTTCGGGGTGAGATTGGCAAGTTTACTATTGACATTTGTGGATTGTTGACCCGATGTGGTCGGATTTGGGTGCCAGACTTTGGTGTGATCATGCAGACTGTACTGGAGGAGGCGCAAAAGTTGTTGGATTAGTGTCTAATCCCGTAACTATATTTGGTAAGTACTTGACTCGGTTGTGCATGGTCCTTTTGGGTTGCCTTCACCATAGCAACTTGACATGATGATTTATAAAGAGAGAAGAGATATTATTATATTAATATATTATAAGAATAATATATTAAAGGAATAATAATATTATTTGATTAATATTAGTCATAGATTAGTTAAGAATTAATGAGATGATTAAAAGAGGTTAATTGAATAAAAGGGGCATAAACTGTCAAATGTGTGATAGTTGTGTTTTTGGGCTATGAATCCTTATAGATCTTAGGGTGGCCGAATTTAGGGTTATGGACTCCTTGAATTCGTCCAAGCCTCAATCTAGAAGGATCCTTGGATTGCTTAGGGCCTAAGTTATTCAATTATGGTTAAAGATGTAACCCTATTAGCTCATAGTATAAAAAGACCCCATGGGTAGGGGAAATCGGCCATCTTGCTTCCTAAGGAACCCTAGAGCCGATTTCCACACCTCTCCTCTCTCTCCAAAATCATCCTCTTGCTAGTTGGTGTTTTTAAGCCATTAGAGGAGTGACAATTGTGACTCTAAGCTCTAAGAACAAGAAGATTCAAGCAAGCAACTTAAGGTATTCATCTAGATCTGATTTCATGTGTTATGCTAGTCTTACCGTTAGTAGGCTTCATTCACGAAGCCGATCTATAAGGGGGGTATAAGGTTATGGCCTATAAAATGGTCGTTTAATGGGTGCCCATTCTCACCCACCGCTTCCTTGATTGGTGGAGGGTCGTTAGCCGAACGGGTAGGATCGGACAAACCTTTCCTCATTAAAAGTATAATGAATCTATATAAAGTAACTAAATGTTTTTACAAAATTCTCAATCTTAGTTACTTTAGGAAAAAGTGAATTTGATGCAATTCCATGAAATTACACTTTCTACCCTTGCTAAGAGATTAATGGAGCGCGTGTGGTTAACCGGCACATTAATTGGTTTCTAAGAAAAGGTAGAAAAGGGTGACTCATTGTTTGTCATAGTTCGATGGAGCGTGTGTGGTTAACCGGCACATCGAATAAATGACTGTAACAATGAGGGCACCATGTACATTTGCATGGTTATTCACACCCACTTTGTGATCCTCGGCATCCCAGTCACAAACTAGAGGGGAATATCAAGATTTAAGCATGCCATTGAAAAGTTCAATGTATCTCAAAAGATCTAGGAGTTTTCAATACATTTAAAAACCTAATTTCCATTTCGTTTTTCATGGTGGAGAATTAGTGAATCGACATTCACTTGCCTTCAAATTATTTACTTGTTGGATTACGGCATCCCTTTTCTAATATGTAAATAATGTTGTTGGTTCCTAGCCCTAATTTTTCATTTGGGTGATTAATCTGGGAAATTCATTTCTAATCAACTTTGTTCTTTTCCTTTTCAGATGTCGAACGCAAACACAAACGCTTCTGGGTCAAACTCCTCTGGTTCATTCTCACTCATGAAACTTATGTGGGAAAGTGATCTTTGATGGGACCAATTTCAGTAATTGGATCCGCAACATTCTCATGGTCACTCGCTAAGAGGACAAGGAGTATGTACTCGATAAGAAGCTAAAGGAGATTGATATCAATACTGCTACCGAAGAGATCGCGGCCTATGAGGCCCACGAGCGTGATGCCATGAAAGTCCATTGCATCATGCTAGCGACTATGACTGCTGAACTTCAGAAGTCCTATGAGGACAAGTACCCCTATGAGATGCATCAGGATCTGCTGGAACGCTACCACTAGAGCGCTAGGCAAGAGAGGTATGAGATCATCACTTCGATGATCACTACCAAAATGGGAAATGGAGAGTCTCTTACTGCCCATCTGCAAAAGATGCAGAGATATGTTGATCGCCTACTGAAGTTGAATGTGAACTTCGATGAAGAGCTAGCAATTGACATCATCCTTCACTCATTGCCTTCCTGCTATAGCCAGTTCCGTATGACCTACCACATGAATAAGGAAGAGGTCTCCTTGAGCAAGCTTCAGGCCTTGTTGAGGACTGCTGAGAGCAACCTCAAGGATAAATATGTTGCATCACCTCCAACTCCAGCTGCTGCCCCTGTCTTGGCAATAGGGCAAGGGAAGGGTAAGAAGAGGAAGGCCTCCTCAAGGGGCCACCACAAGGGAAAGTCCCAAGATGGCACCTCTTCTAGTGGAACCAAAGTTGGTTCTGCTAAACCCAACTCTAACCCTAAGGAGGCAGAGTGTGCCACTACTGCCACAAGATAGGGCATTGGAAGAGAAGCTGCCCAGAATATCTGCAAGCCATCAAGGATGGAAAGATCGAGCCATCATTCACAGGTATTTACACAATTAAATCTAATAATTTATCACATGCTACTTCTTGGGTTCTTGATACAGGATGTGGTTATCACATATGTTCTTATTTGCAAGGACTAAAAAAGAAATAGGGATGTGGAGCGTGGAAGGATGAATCTGATCATGGGAAACAGAAGATCGTCGCATGTGACCAAGATTGGAGTTTACTCCTTAGTGCTTAGTAATGGATTAGATTTAAATTTGAATAATTATTGCTATTCGCCAGATATGGCTAGAAACATCATTTCATTTCATGGTTTATATAAACAAGGTTTTAGATATTCATTTGATAATGAAAAGGGTTCTATTTATGCTTATTTTAATAATGTTTTATATTTTGAAGCATTGCCTTGTAATGGAATATATGAAACTGTGATGGTTGGTGGATAACTTAGGAAATTATGTGTTGTGTATGGATTCTTCCAATGGTATGGATAAAGCATGCTTGTGGCATTGTCGTCTTGGACATGTCAACAAGAAATGCATAGCCCCACTCCAAAAGGAAGGAGTGTTGGAGTCATTCGACCTTAGGGACGATGACGTGTGCGAGTCTTGTTTACTTGGAAAGATGACCAAGTCACCCTTCACTGGCACTTGTGCGAGGGGTGAGGGTTTATTGGATCTCATACATACAGATGTATGTCGACCATTTAGATCCACCATAAGGGATGCGAATTGCTTTTATGTGACTTTCACAGATGATTATAGCAGATATGGGTATATCTACTTAATCAAGCACAAGTCAGAAACCCTTGAAAAGTTCAAAGAGTTCAAACAAGAAGTGGAGAATCAGTTGGGTAGGAAAATCAAGATGCTTCGATCTGATCGAGGTGGAGAGTACCTAAGTCTTGAGTTCCACGACTATCTCAAGGAATGTGGAATAGTTTCACAATTGACGCCACCTAGGACACCACAATTGAATGGTGTAGCTGAGAGGCGTAATCGAACCTTGCTAAACATGGTTCGTTCCATGATGAGTCGTGCTTCACTACCTATCTCATCTGGGGGTATGCCTTAGAGACTGTCGCCCATATCCTTAACTTAGTACCTACGAAGAAGGTTGCCAAAACACCTCACGAGATGTGGACAGGGAAAGCTCCCTCGTTGGCACATATCAAGGTTTGGGGTTGCGAGGTTTTCGTAAGACGAGAAACTCACGACAAGCTCGAACCTCGTAGTGAGCGATGTATTTTCATCGGCTACCCACAGAAGTCCTTTGGATATCTCTTCTACAGACCGAGTGACAATGTTGTCTTCGTTGCAAGGATAGGGGTTTTCCAAGAGCGAGAACTCATAAGCCAGGGAGACAGTGGGAGGCAAATAGATCTTGAAGATCTTCAAGAGTCGAACGATGAAGGAACCTCTAACACGGGCGCTCAACCTGAGGAGGAAACTCCGGTTGAACCGATTGACGAGTCCTTACCTCTCAGACGTTCCGAAAGAGTTAGTGTTCCACCCCAGTTTTATGGTTTTCATATTACTATGGAAGGGGATTCGTTCATTAGTGATAGTACACTAGTGAATATGGACGAACCTAACAGCTATAAGGAAGCCATGGCAGGCCCAGAGTCTGCGAAATGGAAAGAGGCTATGGACAGCGAGATTCAGTCCATGTATGGCAACCAAGTTTGGAATTTGGTTGACAATGTACCAAATCGTAAGACGGTCGGGTGCAAGTGGATCTTCAAGAAGAAGACTGACGTGGATGGAAAGTTGCACACTTACAAAGCACGATTGGTTGTGAAGGGTTTCACTCAAACTCCTGGAGTTGACTACGACGAAACCTTCTCACCAGTTGCGAAGATAAAGTCTATCAGGGTGATGCTGGCCATTGCTGCACTTCATGACTATGAAATATGGCAAATGGATGTCAAAACCGCTTTCCTTAATGGGAAGTTGGCTGAGGATGTTTACATGGCTCAGCCAGAGGGTTTTGTCAATGCAAAGCATCCAAGTAGAGTGTGTAAGCTTGAGAAGTCCATTTATGGACTTAAGCAAGCGTCTCACAAATGGAATCTTTGTTTCGACGAGAAGGTCAAAGAGTTTGGGTTTTCTGCGAAATGAAGATGAATCATGTGTATATGTTAAAGCCAGTGGGAGTGTAGTAAGCTTTCTCGTATTGTATGTCGACGACATACTACTCATAGGAAACGACATCCCGACACTACAGGAGGTTAAGTCCTGGCTCGGGAAGTGCTTCGCTATGAAGGACCTCGGAGAGGCTTCCTATTTTCTGGGAATAAGGATAGTAAGAGACAGAAGTAAGAGACTAATAGGACTTAGTCAGAATACTTACTTGGACAAGGTACTAAAACGTTTTAGTATGTAGAATTCAAAGAAAGGGGAGTTACCAATCCAGAGTAATGCCAAGTTGAGTAAGACTCAAAGTCCGAGTACTGAAGTCGAGATAGCAGAGATGAGCCGAGTACCCTACGCTTCCTCAGTTGGCTCAATCATGTACGCTATGACTTGTACTCGTCCTGATGTGGCCTTCGCTTTGAGCATGTGTAACGCCCCGATTCCCAGGTATTGTTTAAATAAGAATTTATTTGTTTTCAAGGCCTACTCGACGAGTTGGTTGCCCTACTCGTCGAGTAGGAACGGGTTTGGATCGCGTGTTTAGTGAACTACTCGCCGAGTCCATAAAGGGACTCGATGAGTAGGATCTGGCAGAGGAAACCCTAAATCCCGGGGTTTTGCACCCTATTTAAAGGAACCTCAGCCTCCTTTGGCCTCTTTACAGCCTTTGAGAGCTCAGTGAAAACCCTAATTCGTGTGGTGCTCTTCTTGGTGTGATTTAAGCCTTGGAAAGAAGGTTGGCTAGGAGGGAAAAGCTTGAAGAGCAAAGGAGTTGAAGCAAGGAAGGTGTGGGAAGCAGAACTTACCCCAGCTAGCATCTTCTGGAGGTATCAAGTTGCAATCTCTACTTCCCTTTCCTTCTAGATATCTTTTCTTTTGGTTGAGTTTTAGGGTTTTATGGCTTTTGAGTTGATATGGCGAGCTATGGGCTAGATCTGAAGTTGTAACTTCAGATCTGGACCCTCCCTATATACTAGAATCACAAAGTTTCGGGTTTGGGGGTAATGGAGGTCCTCCTTGTGTATGAAAACCCCATTAAGAGCTTAGAATGGCCATTAAGAGTCTTTTTAGTCATGCATACACGTAAAGTTTGCAACTTTACGTGAAAAGCATGCTCTAGAAGCTTGGATCTGTAATTTGGAGCCATTGCATGGCTTAAATAAGTCTGTATGGCTTAAGGACTGAAGGAACTCGGCGAGTCACAAGGTTGACTCGTCGAGTCGTATGAAGATGGCCTTGAGCTCGACGAGTTGGATGAGCAACTCGGCTAGTCTGATGAAATTGCCATAGACTCGGCGAGTTGTATGAACAACTCGGAGAGTCGGATGAGTTTTCTCTAGGACATGTATGCGTGTGTATCCGTCGTGTTGCACGAGGGAAACTCGACGGGTGGACTTAGAGTTTGATCAAGAATCGGAGGAACTCGACGAGTCACCTCGATGACTCGGCGAGTTGGAAAGTGCTTCAAGGAACTCGGCGAATAGACGGGGGTACTCGGCGAGTTAAGGTCAACATGGACTGTTGACCTTGACTGAGGACTTTGACTTTGAGCAGGGGGTTGACTAGTGGGTTATGGAGTACCTTGTAAGGTTAAGGACTTATGAGTATATTGTGCTATGGTAATAGGTGGTGGAGCCTGTGTCAAGTGATTCGAGAGTTGGGATTTATCTACCGAGTAGACATCTGCGAGGTGAGTTATCCTCACTATATCGATAGGGTCTAAGGCACCAAGGCCGGCCCTTTTTAGTTGTTATCGTGATGGTATGCTACATGTGGATATGATCTGTTAGATCGGAATCAGGATAGACAGTATGTTATGCTCTTATGATCCGTAGGGATTAATAGGTGAGTGACCTGCTAGGTCAGTGCTATAGTTATGAGTGATTGCTATGTTTGGTGATCAGTGAGATAGGTATGTTTGATGATTGTATATGCCAGTATATGTTAGTTATGCGCACGTGATTAATTGCTTGTTGCTTGGGTTGAGGCGGTCCTGCTCTGTGCTGAAGGCCAACACACCCTATGAGCGGTCCGGGGAGACTGTAGGCCCACGTGGCGGTCCAATCATGCCGAAGGCTCGGTATAGATTCAGTTGGACTGTAGGCCCGGTAGGGCGGTCCAGTCAGGCCGATGGCCCAGTATGCATGTTGATTGATTGTTTATTATGGATATGGTATTTATCAGTGTGGTATTGGTATTTTGGGGGTAGCTCACTAAGCCCTCGGCTTACAGTTTTCAGTTTATTGTTTCAGGTACTTCAGGAGTTCATGGCAAGGCGAAGGCGTGACCGTACCGCTCCTCATCCTTATGATCCGGCTTTTGGGACACTCTGATTGAATAATGAATTGAAAACACTTTTGTAAGCAAATACTATTTGGTTTTATTTATGCTTGAAAAGTTTAAATTTGGCGTAAAATTTATGGATGTTACAAGTTCATATCAGAGCCTTGGTTTGAGTGAATTGGAGGAACACTCGTGTGAATGCAGTCTCAAATCAAGGAGGTTTTCGGAAAGTAAAATTTTTAAATTGGTTTTCAAAATAAAGGATGGAGGATGCAGAGGGTACGATCAGTCGGAGCCTGTAAGTAAACCCCAAAATACCATACAGTTATTTGATATTTTGATATGTTAGAACAGCATGCTAGTGCTAGGCTAGGGATCTTCAGGAATCGCATGATAGACTTGCCTGATTATATGATGCCCATTAGCTTAGGGTTTCTTGTATGTGGAATTGACATCATAACTGTAAATGTTTAGTGTATGCATCACGGTTGTGCATAATAAAGACCTCAAAGCCTGAGAATGTTGATTCGGCCTTCGGGTAGGATGGGACATTCGAAAGTCTATTGGGTCCAGCGTTATGTGCAGTTAGCATACACTAGCGCTGCAGGGGATGATGAAAGTTTCATGGATGTGTGAGTTGTGAGAAGCTGTAAGACCAGTTGCGAGATAGTTGATATTCCTCTAGGGATGAGGGTTGAGCGCAATTTATGCTGATGCTAGTTTTAGGGTGTTGTGGTGATACTTGAGACAAATATGGGTAGGTGTGGAAGGTAGTATGGGCCCGTACTATTGAAAGCACAGGACCCATACGCGTAGCAAGGAAGTCACAACCCCTAGGGTTTGTGGGTTTTGGTCTCCCGATATTATGTTATTTATCTGATGATTGAGTATATCTTTCAGTATGGTGGTGACGAGACGTTTTTCTGCTGGGCCCGGATCAGAATCAGGGTCCGGATCGGGGTCAGGGTCTGGAGACGGAGGGTCGGAGGTGCCGATAGCACCTGAGCCCGTGGTACAGATAGGGACCGAGGAGTTGGATGCCAGGATCCGGGAGATTATGTAGGACGAGATTGCTGTAGCGTTCCGAGCGCAGCTGCCAGAGATGTTTGGGTCGATTAAGACCGCGATGGTCGAGTACTTTGATGAGCGATATGCAGCTCTAGCAGAGACAGCTGCTGCTGCAGCCACTTCGGCTGTAACCGCGGAAGGAGTTGGAGGAGGAGCCAACAGGGCTTTCCAGTACCGGGACTTCGATAATACGAAGCCCCCGACGTTTGATGGTACACAGGATGCGATCAGAGCTATGAGGTGGTTATTTTGACGTGGAGGGATGTTTCTTCACGTGTTCATGTCCTGCTAACCAGAAGGTCAGGTGTGCTCTGAACGTGCTGAGGCTTGGGGCAAAGGACTGGTGGAGATTGACGACAGGGTCGTACACGGATGATCAGCGAGCTACTGTTACTTGGGAGCAATTTCGGGATATGTTACGCACCCGCTACGTTCCACATGTTGAGCGGGAGCGGCTTGCTCAGGAGTTTTTGACATTGAGACAGGATGGGGAGTCAGTGATGGAGATTACCCGTATGTTCACGGAGAGGGCTATGTTTTGCCCGGAGTTTGCTTCAGAGCAGTCTCAGATGACTCGTTATCTGAGTATGCTTAAGACTGATATTCGACAGTTTGTGTCTACACAGCGATGTGATACCCTCCTGGATCTTCAGGAATCCGCAAGGCGGTGTGAGTTGGAGATAGAGCTGCAGTTGAAGGAGCAGCGTCAGGCACCGGCACAGTCTCAGCCGGCGCCTAAGCGGTCTAAGACCGCTGATACTCGGACTGGGAGTCAGCAGAGCCGCACTTGTGGAAAGTGTGGCAGGGGTCATTCGGGGGTTTGTCGAGCAGGAGGTGGATCCCACAAATGTGGCAAGGAGGGGCACTATGCCAGGGACTGCCGTCAGTCCGCCCCTCCAGCGGATATGAGGATTTGTTACCATTGTCAACAGGTTGGTCATGTGAAGACCAACTGTCCGCAGCTCGCCGCCAAGCCGGCGCAGGGTCCCGCGCCAGCTACTGTGAGGATTGGAGATGGGAGGCCAGTCAAGGGGGAGCCTCCAAAGGCTCAGGGTCGCGCCTTCCAGCTCACGGCCGAGGAGGCCAAGGCAGCACCGAATGTGGTTGCTGGTACGTTTCTATTCTCTGTCTCAGTTATTGTATTTTATGTTATGCTTATTGGTTGTACCTGTGATTAGGTAGGTTTTTAGTGAATTCTTTACCTGCTTTGGTTTTATTTGACTCGGGGGCGAGTCGGTCGTTCGTATCTCAGACTTTCAGTAGAGGGTTTAGTGTGCCGGTAGATGAGCTTGAGTGTCCGTTGCGAGTTTCGATCGCCAACAAGCACGGGGTTTCTGCTTCTTCGGTCTACCGGGGATGCGAGTTGGAGATTTTCGGGGTGCCCTTCCCGATAGATTTGATTCCTATTCCCATGGGGGAAGTGTGCGTGATCGTAGGGATGGATTGGCTCAGTCGATTTGGCGCCATGATCGACTGTGAGGGACAGCGAGTGGTAGTTCGAACCCCAAGTGGGGGAGAACTGGTGGTATATGGCGAGGGCACCAGGATGGGATCAGGGTTTTGTTCGGCGGCCAGGGCTCGACAGTATATTCAGCACGGGTGTGCCGGTTATTTAGCGTGTGTGGTAGATACGC